CCGTGTAGGAGGAAGAGGTCAGGGAAAGGAAAAGGTTAAGGGGCCAAGGACACAGAACTTTCTCCCAGCAAGAAAACATCACTCCGGCCAGGACTGCATCACAGGGCTATTCCTAGGAAGCTGGGTGGCCAGCAGGTCACCTTTCCACCCTTTATAGAAAAGGTAGGCAATGGCCGGGTGAGGTGGCTCATGCCTGTGATCCCAGCACTTAAGGAGGCTGAAGCAGGCAGATTACTGGAGGCCAGGAGTTCGAGACCAGCCTGACCAACATGATGAAATCCTGTCTCTACCAAAAATACAAAAATTAGCCAGGCACGGCAGCGCGTGTCTGTAATCCCAGCTACTCAGGAGGCTAGGGTGAGAGAATCACTTGAGCTCAGGAGGTGGAAGTTGCAGTGAATGGAGATCACGCCACTGCACTCCAGCCTGGGCAACAAAGAGACGCTGTCTCAAAAAATAAAAATAAAAAAGGAGGCAAAGTGAAGCGTGACAGATAATGGCTTTGGGATATCAATCAACGGTCTATCAAGGGACCCAGCCAAGAGTTTTCGGTGTTTTCTTTTACCAATTAAAGACACTAAAACACCACCACCAACTCTTACCTGCTACCCCTATCATTTCCTAATAGAAAGGGTATCTTAACACTGCCAAGGCCAGACACAGATGCCTATAATTGCAACACTTCAGGAGGCTGAGGCAGGTGTATCTCTTGAGGCCAGGCATTCAAAACCAGCCTGGCCAACAGAGCAAAACCCCGTATCTACTAAAAAATTTTTAAAAATATATTAGCCAGACGTGGTGGTGAGTGTCTGCTGTCCCAGCTACTCAGGAGGCTGAGGTAGGAGGAGCACTTGAACCTGGGAGGTGAAGGGTGCAGTGAGCCGAGATTACGCCACCGTGCACCCCAGCCTGGGCAACAGAAGGACCTTGTCTCAAAAAAAAAAAAACTCAAAAGAGGAAAGGCAATCGCAGAATAATATCTGCCCACACACTGCACCATCAGTTTCGTTTTCTGCAAAATTTCCCCCATTGTTCTTAGTTTCTGAGATGTTTTCAGTGAAATGTCAGTCCTGGGCGTGGTGCTGAGGGATGGCGGCCCTGCATTCGCAGTGAGACGCGCAAACCACAGCACCGACAGGCCCATGGCTTTCGGAGACAGAACCTGGAAAAACAGCATTTGTCAGATTTGTTCATACAAATGACCATGGAAGTAAGTCTTATTACAAACTTACATGAGTTGTCATAAATGGAGATGTACATTCTTGAACCAAACTAATACCCTTGTTTCTGTTCCAGATCATGATGAATATTCCATTAACCCAGCAGAGACCTGAGAGTCCAACTCCTGAATGAGAAATGTCTTCAGAAAGGACACACGAGGGGCAGCTGTCAGCCACAGAAAAGCCTTCACAAAGGCAGCAGCAGGTTGGGCAGGTCTTGACACAAAGTACAGGCAGCTGGCCCTCCCAGGACAGGATCCACTGACTCCACTCAAAGCATCTGGTTCATTTAAAGTCCAATGGTTCTGCCACCACCAGGTCTCAGCTAACGACGCAACCGTGGTGAGATGGCAGCTCCAAGGGGGTGTGCTGTCATTTCTCATCAGTGAGTAGGTCACGTGGCTAGGGAGTTTGAATCTTTCCTTTTCCCCAAAGATTTTTGTACCTCTCATAGGCACACACAAAAAATCCCATTTAAAGAAAACGCGACAAATATAGATAAAGAAAAAAAAAAAAATAAAGAAAACGCAAATGTTACCTGGAAAAGCAGATTTGAAATCCGTTGCTAATGGTATTATAGGTTATTTTCCCCACTGAGAAAATTCTGGGCATTTCAGTTATTGGCAGTAGCCCTTTAAGACTCTGTTTCTGCTAATTTTCCCTTAACCTCTTCAGTTGCATTCTGAATTTTCAAAAGTAGGACCAAGCTAGTTATGGGTGACTATAAATTTGGAGGGTGGGAGTGCACATTAAAATAACCACGACTGGCCGGGCGCGGTGGCTCACGCCTGTAATCCCAGCACTTTAGGAGGCCGAGGCGGGTGGATCATGAGGTCAGGAGATCAAAACTATCCTGGCCAACATGGTGAAACCCCGTCTCTACTAAAAATACAAAAAAAATTAGCTGGGCCTGGTGGCGCATGCCTGTAAACCCAGCTACTCAGGAGGCTGAGGCAGGAGAACGCTTGAACCCAGGAGTAGGAGGTTGCAGTGAGCCAAGACCGGGCCACTTCACTCCAGCCTGGCAACAGAGTGAGACTCTGTCTCAAAAGACATACATATATACATACATAACCACTACTTAGGGCACCGGCTGCAGTGGCTCGTGCGTGTAATCCCAGCACTTTGGAAGGCCGAGGTGAGAGGATCCCTTAAGCCCAGGAGTTCGAGACTAGCCAGGCCAACATGGTAAAACCCTGTCTCTACTAAAAATACAAAAAATTAGCCAGGCATGGTGGTACATGCCTGTAGTCCCAGCCACTTTGGAGGCTGAGGCAGGAGGATGGCTTGAGCCCAGGAGTGGGAGGTTGCAGTGAGCTGAGATCATACCACTGTACTCCAGCCTAGGCGACAGAGACCATCTCAAAAAATAAAAAAAGAACAAAGGCCAGTAAACTTTCATCGAGGCACAAATAGTAAATATTTCAGGCTCCATCAGCTACGTGACAGCTCTTGCAGTCTTAGCAAGAAGAAGCCACAGAGCTTACATGAAGAAATGGGTGTGGCTGCGTCCCGTAAGACTTCGTTATGGATACTGACATTTGAATTTCACGTAATTTTACACAAGTCACAAAACACTACTTTTCTTTGTGTTTCTTCCAATCACTAAAATATAAAAACTCTTCTTACTTCACAGGCCGCAAGAAAACAGGTCCCACGGGCTGTATAGTTTGCTGATGATCCCTGAATTAGAAGATAAAATAGATAAAGCACTCAGAAACAAATTTAACAAGAAACATGCAAACGTCCATGAGGACGTTTAAAAGTGTCTGAAGTCACAAAGCTTAACTTAATAAAGAAAGATATCCCATGTTTTTGGTTAGAAAGATTCAACAACAAGAAGGTGCAAATTCTTCCACAATCAATTTTAAAATGTATTAGGAGGCTGGGCTCTGTGCCTCACGCCTGTAATCCTAGTACTTTGAGAGGCTAAGGTAGGCGGATCACCTCAGGTCAGGAGTTCGAGACCAGCCTGGCCAACATGGTGAAATCCCATCTCTACTAAAAATACAAAAAATTAGCCAGGTATGCTGGCAGGTGCCTCTAATCCCAGCTACTCGGGAGGTTCAGGCAGAATTGCTGGAACCCTGGAGGTGGAGGTTGCAGTGGGCCAAGATTGCACCACTGCATTCCAGCATGAGTGGCAGAGCAAGACTCCGTCTCAAATAAATAAACAAAATGTATTATGATCCAAATTAAAGATTATGATCCAAATTAAAGATTATTTTTTTCTGGAATCACACAGCTGGCTCTAAAGTTGATATGAAAAGATAAGCAAGATTAGGTCTGGAAAACTCAGAAAAAGAAGAACAAAAAGGAAGTAGCTGTACTAGAATATAAAACACCATACCCATCAGCAACTAGCCGGTGTGGCATCAGCACACACGTGGACAGAGAGAACATACCCAGAAATATTAATACACCCAAATGAACCCAGGACTTACTGTGTGATGAAGGCAGCATATCAAATCAGGGTGCTAAAGATGAAGTTTTTAATAAATGGTGTTGGGCCATAAAGACAAACAGATCCAAACCTCATACGTATTAGGATACAAAGTACTCCAAGGAAACCAAATATTAAATGTAAGAAATGAAACCATATAACTTAAAATGGGGGAAGCCAGGCAGGACACAGTGGCCCATGCCTGCTAATCCCAGCACTTTGGGAGGCTTGAGGCGGGGGAATCACTTGAGCCCCAAAGGTCAAGGCTACAGTGAGCTGTGATCACATCATTGCCCTCCAGGCTGGGTGACAGAGTAAGATCCTATCTCAAAATAAAATAAAATAGGGAAAGACATTCTAAAATGATTTAAAATCCAGAACTGTTAAAAAAAAAAAAAACTCATGAATTCAAATGCATAAAAATAATTTGCTTATAATTTTTTTTGTTATGCAAAGATCAAAAGAAAAAGATGAACTGGAAAAACATGATTGTAACACATCACAAAGATTAATTTCCATAATCTATAAAAGAAATTCTAAAGAAAATTCTAAAGTGTTCTAGAAATTCTAAAGGAAAAGACCAACAACCCAATTTGGAAAACGGGCAAAGGACATGAACTGAGAGGTCACAGAAAAATACCAATAGCCCTTCAACCTGTGGAAAGACCCACACTGTCGGTGAGGCATGGGAAACAGGCACCCCCATATACAGCTGGTAAGAGAACAGAACAGCATAAGCCCTGAGGAAGGGGAATTTGATGGGAACTACCCAAATTACTGAAGCAGTTACCCTTGACAGGACGCACTTCTGGGAATCCCGACTGGAAACAAGTGAAGTGTACATCCACCCTGGAGACTACAGGAAAGAAAGAACAACAGTGGTCTCTACGCAGAGCATGGCGTGAGCCACAGGAAAGTGAAGAAAGGCCCAGCACAGTGGCTCAGGCCTATAATCCCAGCACTCTGGGAGGCCGAGGTGAGTGGATCACCTGAGGTCAGGAGTTCAAGATCAGCCTGGCCAACATGGTGAAA